GGAAGGCTGTAAGTGGCTGATAAAGTTATTTATTCTGTTCATTCGTGTTTAAAACAGAGCCATGTTTTATTTCTGCAGCACAAAAATGGCTCAATCATTTACTCTTTAACCCCTTAAATGGACAGAGCCCCCCGGCCTGCCAGACGTTTAATCACACACTTCTAAACCCTGAGAAGAGCTCAGCCAGTCTGGATGATACTGAGTAATAAGCCTTAATAACTTATTACACATGTAATAGTGTGTAATAAGCCTGGGATTTTAAGGGGTTGAGCTCTTGTTACTCTTTAAGAAATGAATAATACCTTAAACACTGCAGTGTGTTGAAGTAACTAAGCCAAGATTAGCATCTATTAGAACATTATTTCCCAGTCTGTACGGTGGGGAACCCAGGCCAGTCCAGATTTGCGCTGCATTTCAGCTCCTGAATCAGATATTGGGGTTCAGTCTGGTTCAGGTGTGCTGGGAGCTAAGACAGAGGAACCGTGTCCAGTTCTTTGAGGCCTGTTTGTTTTATGCAGCGTCTCCCGGCACCAGTGCTGTAGCTCACCCACACTGCCCCCTCAGTAGCTAACGGTCAGGTCTTTCTAGAGTTGGAACTGGGTGTTTTAGAGCAGGAGAACCACAGACTTGTGCAGTTAGAGAACACCTGAGTGCAGTTCTACCTGCACCCATCAGGTGGCACTGTTAGATGATGGAGTGGTAAAACTTGGGGCACTTAAAAATAACAGTGGCTGCTAGAAACAGGGGACGAAGAACAGCCCTCCTAATTTAATCTTAATGTTTACCAGTGTTTGTGTTCACTGCTAGGTGTTCCGGTTTCTCACTTTACAGCTGTTACTACCTGAATTAGCTTAATATGTATTCTAGCACGGTTTGTTTTCACAGGATACTGTGCAACGACACTGAATCACCCAGCAACAAGTCACTCGTGTCACTCGTGGTGGCTCTACTGTTTGTAGTTGGAAGAAATTATAAATGCTAAATGTTAAAGCTATTTTAGAGCTGTCACCTTCCAGCTCTTTCTGCTAGGGTCCCAATGCCTGTCAGCACCGGCTAACAGTTTCCTATAACTTATGATGTTATATAATGAGACAAGAACCTAAAAATAATAGGCAAAAATACAGATTTGATCATGCAATTCTTCATTTGTGGCCTTGCTCGATTGAACTGTCCTCTTTAGAGTGAAAAGTCTGTGTGGCCTGTAAAAATTTGCAAAAGATTGGAAATGTTTGTATGACTGCATCCCCCCTGCCTTCCCCCACCTCCCACAGCTCTGTTTTTCCATTCTTTGTATTTATAATATGAATTTCGAAGATAAAACGATCCAGATCGTGGTTAAAAATGCTCTGTTTATCTGTGGCCGGGGGGGGGCGTTTGGCAGGCTGAGTGGGTTTGCGGTGTTGGGAGGGGAAGAACTTATTTCTTCAGCTTGCAGAGTCGACTTGCATAACATTGAGAGTGTGTTACACAACAGTGTAAGACTGCAGAGAGTTGGAGATTCCCAACGTCCAGCTGGGAGCAGGAGGGAAAAGGCCAGGGCAGCCCCCCATACAGAAATGTGATATGTGGAAATATATGGATTTCAAATATATGACATGTTAGCATAAATGGATTTCCCTTATATTCAATTTAAATGGCCATATGTGACAAATTTACCTGACATTTATGCCAACTTATTTGGCCACTTTCAAATATGGGACATATTTCAGCCATTTATCAGCACATACAAACATATACATGAAAAACATATATATTTAAAAAATATATAATAGAAAACATTCATATATTGATGGTATATATTATTCTTAACATAAGGCTAGTATATATAAGTAATAGATACCATCATATATGATACGAAACATTAACATATTGATGGTATATATTACTCTTACATAACATGAAGCTAGTATATATAAGTAATATATACCATCATATGTCATAGAAAACAATATATGGATGGTAGAAAACATATTGATGATATGTATTACTCATATATACTACCTTCATGTTGTATAGGTTTTTTATTGATTGATTCTAGTATTTCATTTTGATTTTTGCTTTTAAAGAATCTTATGTGTCTGTATATATGTGATCCATGTATCAGATATATGAATAAGACACACAGTGTATGTAAGATCCATTCATAATGGACCCTCTCTTCTGCCCTGTCTTCTCTTGCCTTTTGTAGCTTCTTTTGGGATCTCAGAGTGCTGGCTGCATATTAGCACCCCACTGAGCCCAATAATGTTTATGACCCCTAAAAAAATTCAGTTAATTTCTTTCACACAAACCATTTTTCCACATGAAAATCCCAAAAATAGTAAGCTGAGCAGCCAACATTTTTATCTTAATGTTTGGAAATTGGTGGGGTAGGATTCCATTACTTCTTAGCTACATTAGCCTCACAGCTTCATTGCTAAAACTAAAGAAGCAAACTTAGACACCAACATGTCTTGACTGATTGAATACATTTGGTATAAAACTGAAAAACGGAGCTCACTTTGATTTCTTTCACAATCGTGACTATTTACACATGAAAAATACCAAAATAGTGAGCAAACAGCCAAGATTTTCATGCTAGTGTTTGCTAATTTGTGATACCATTGTCTGCTAGCTGCATTAGCACTGTAGCTCCATTGCTAAAGCTGAGGAAAGTTCAGACACTGAACATGTCTTGACTAATCGAGAACATTTGGTGTTGGGGCGAAATTGAGCTTAATCTGATTCTTTTACACTGATGAATTTAAAATTGAAACATTTTTACGCTAACAGATGCTAACTGATGGGGTATGAGCTTCCATTACTCGCTTACATTTGCCTCATAGCTTCAGGGCAAAACTAAAGAAGCAAACTTCAGTTGCCAAACAAGTTTTGGCAGTTGAAGTACTTTTGGGAAAAATTGGGCTTAATTTGATTTCTTTTACACAGGTGACTTTTTACACATGAAAAATCCCTAAACTGTAAGCCAACAGCCAACATTTCTATGTTTATTATTAAAAACAGCAGAAGTATGTAACTTCGCTTGGCCTCTAACAGCTCTACAATGGTGTGCTGATAATGGCTGTCTCAGTTTTCTTTGAACACAATGTGCTATTTTTTGCTTACCATCTTCATGTAGCATGTTCTCATACTGAAACTTTATCCTCAGCAGGAGAAATATGAGAGAATTTCATGTTATTGTTGGGCCGTGTCCGTATATCTCTGAAGTAAGTCTATACACATTAGGAGCTCTAGTCTAAGCTTATTTTCTCCAGGAAAACAGGGTTTTTGAAAAATCATCGCTGCCCTGTGGTGAACAATACTGTTCCAAATCCGATACATTTTCCCTCCAAATGTCATTGAATTCTCTGAGGTCATTTAAGTTGAAATACACTGCAAACTATTGCTACATGCAAGCTAACATTGCTACGCACTGCATCGACATCATAAAACTGGCAACCTCACCAAAACACCCCACACAAACTAGCAAGCTTAGTCAAATGTGGTAGTTACTTTGCTATGGCAGTAGTACAGAACAGTTTGAGTGGCTGGTGTTGTTTAAGCACAGTATTAGCTTTACTTTCACGTGATTTTATGTCAGTGTGCAGGAGTGTTAGCTTGTTTGTAGCCTGCATGTAGCATTATTCATATCTTGACTGCTAAATGACCTCATAATTCAGAGGATCTGCTAACATTGGGGCGAAAAATGTATACAGGACTAAATATATCAGGTTAGGATCAGGTTAGGATTATTTTGTTTACCACAAGACGTAGCTTAGAGTTCCTAATTTAGCATGATGTTCCGCTACAGAACGACAACATGACCGGTTTTTTCCTCTGTTGATCAAATAGCCTGCGAGCTTCATACAGCAGGTTAGCACAACAAAAACAGTTCAATCTGGATGACCTGTTTCTTGTCCCTTTTCTGCACATTTAAAAATAGCATTTTAATTGGCGCAGATGTGCATTTTTGGACGTCCCCTTTGTGTTCTTAATTGTGTTTACAGTTATGTCATGGCAGCTTTGAGCCCGAGTCCCTTTCACTTCTCTGTATTTTTAGAGAGAAGCTCCTCTGTGGCCTAGAAAGTGAACAAGCTGCTCCCAAATATTTTCCAACATCTGCCGGCCATCAGCGCGTCTGCATTCCTGAGCAGGCTCCGTTTCACCTGGATCAAACCTCCGTGTAGATATATCATCATCCCAGGCGAGGAGGAGGGAGAGCGGGGCAATCCAGACAGACAGCTGTCCCACAGAGCAAAAACCCAAAAGCTTTACATACTTCTGTCACAGGCATATAGAGGTCAGCACTGCGCTATTGTACCTGTGTTGTCTTCTAAGGCCTTGCAGTTTTGGCAGGCTGTGGTTTGGCACAATGAAAAGGTAATCAATCAGGTCCATTGGGTGGAATGGAGGTTGTTATGTTGAGCTTATCTTATCTACACTGTTAGGTCTGTTTACTTTGTGTAAAGAGCCTTTCTTTTACTGCAGTCTAATGTTTTTACTCACTGAGCTTGTCTAGGATCAGTCCGGCCTGCTTAATTCATGATCTTGACCACCGTAAGGGGATTTTATGCTTTTGTCAGGTTTCTTTTTATGCTCTGGATTATTTAGACAAGTTCACAAGTCCTTAAATTTAAAGGTGTGAAGTTCTGTAAGAGTTGGTTTAGACCATAACTCTGCACCTTCAGGCGTTCAGGCCCTGCTTTCTCTGGTGAAAAAAAAGCTTCCCCATATTGGAAACAGTCTCCCTAAACACAGATCCCTGCTGTTTGGGAAAGCACTCAAGATTCCTGGCATGCCTTCACGCTTTTTGTGCTAATACGAGGGCTTTTTAATCGTTTTGTTATTAGATTGAGCTGAGAGTTTGACTTATGGTGCTTTAAAGAAAGCAAGTCAAGCCTTAAGACGGCATTCCACCGCACAGCATGGCTCAGAATGGCTGTTATATAACCAATCTCGTCATTCACTGGTCGTTTCATCTCGTTCATTCAACAAAGAATAAAGACACAGAGTGTTTAATGTCATAAATAAATCTTTTTTTATTTGTAACATATAAAATTAGATCATTTTACACTTTATTCCAGTATGACAATATTCAAATAAAGTAGCTACATTTCTGATAAATAATATTAATAACAATAATAAAACATTCATTCTTTAAGTCAACTCATTTTGTTGCTAATTCTCTGATGGAGTTGGTTTTCAATAGCTGCCGAACAATATGAACGCACTTGTCCACATTAGGAAGGAATGTTACCACATATTTGTCGGAAAAACCACAGCATGGCGAAACTGATGAAATTACAGGACCATGGTCTACAAATGAAAGCAATTTATGTATGTGCATATATATGCATATTTGTAGATATATACACATACAAGTCTACAGTTGGGTCATATTTTGTATTTAGAAAATCAAAATATACATAAAACATTTTTTAACAACTACATTTTACAAATTGCTCGACTTTACAACTTTACAACCAATGGACTTTGCTCCGTAATGAAGCTACGAAAACTTATTGCTCCATTGTGGAGCGAGTCTTTCATAACTTGAAAGTATCGAACGCTGACAAGTCCTCAGCAAGCAGTGCACTTCGCCAAACTCCTCAATGAAAGCCCATGATTCCGTGGGAATCTAATGGTGGTAGTCGACTGGCCGAAGGGGGCGGGCCTCCGATCCCCAGCCAAGCTGTGATTGGCCGTTCCGACGTCACCGCTGACGTCGCGTCATTCTGCAATGGGATTCCCCCCCAGCTCAGTCTCTGAACTTGTGGATGTCGTTGAAGAGCCGGTAGAAGGGGTAGGAGGCCTCGTTGGCGTGGGGGCAGTTGAATGTGCACTTGCAGGTCTCGATCAGCATCACGTTCTTGTTGAAGGTCTCGCCGTCCTCGCAGCGGAACTTGACGCGGATGGTGCGGGTCTGCTGGGGGCTGCAGCAGCGGCCGTCCACGCAGGAGCCGCAGTACTTGGGACGGTACTTCTTCAGGCTGGAGCAGCCGGCGTAGGTGAACTTGACCGGCTGAGCGGACTTCTTGGTTCTGTTGCACTTCTTCCCTTTCTGTTTGGAAAGAAGAAAGAAGATCCCAGCTTAGTCAAGTTAACTCAACTGATGATCAGTGTTGTCAGACTCTCTTGCAGTGCATTTGCTGTGGAGGATCATGCTTACCTTAAGGCTGGAGTAAGGAGACTGGGTGCAGGGGCGGACCTCGCAGATTCGGCTCTCCTTGACCAGCTTGCACTCAGCATTGTTGTTGGTGACTCTGGTGGAGATGCCGGTGCCGCAGGACTTGGAGCACTGTGACCAGGGCGTGGTCTGGACAATGCACTTCTGGCTCTCGAACATGTGGGACTCGGCCTGGACTCTGAACGCTGCAAGCGAAAGGAGAGCAAGCAGTTTAGATTCCACTCAATCAAGCACAGTGGAAACTAGCCAAGAGGTTCCAGCCCAGTGGGCTGGGAGCTGCACTGAGGCACCTACCGGGAAGAGACTTGAGGCCAGCCTTCACGTTGGCGACCAGCTCGTTTCTGTTGGTGAGGTCACTCTCGGTCTCGTCGGGCATTGGCTCCTTGCCAAACAGCTTGTCGGAGGGCTCGTCGCAGACCCACTCCTCGCAGCACTGGCCTGGAACTTTGACAAGCCTAGGGTTGGCACAGCCTAGAGTGGGCAGGGACAGCTCCTGGGGGCAGAGAGGGATGCAACCCACTGCCCCGTCAATGCATGTGCACTGGTGTTTACAGTTGGGCTGGAAACTCTCTCCGTTCTGGTAGATCCTGCTGTTGTACTCGCAGGGTCTGCCTTCAGACTTGGCTGTTGCGGGAGAAAAGAGAAGAAGGCATTCCGTTATTCGGAATTCATCGGATCACACATGCAAGCAATTAAGGCACCTTCCAGGAGTATGAGTTTAGTTTTAAACTGCTTTTCTCATAACTACATAACTTTCATAACAACTACTAAATAATTTACAGCAGTTACTGAGCAATAAACCTTAAGATGAACATCCTAAGTCAAACAAAGTGGTGCAATGCTACGTCTGATCTGAACTTGTCATGTGTCGAGGGGGTGGGGAGGTGGCTGGAGCAGACAGAGGAGAGCGTAATGAGAAACACACCTCGGCAGATGCCTCTGGCCGCCCCGAAACTAGCCCCGAAGTTGCACTCGAGCCCCTTGGTGTGGTCACAGGGCTCCATCTTGCTGCAGTCTTCGTTGAGCTGCCTCGCGCATACTTTGCAGCACCCGCAGGCATCGGAGACGAGGCTGACGCCTGGTGTGCATTTGGGCAGCTCCGGGGAACACTGGCACTCCTGAGGGCATGCGCTGAGCGCCTGTTGGGGGGGCACAGACATAGACACCAATGAAGCAGCCCATTCATTTCAATGGAGTTAGAGCAAAATAGCTTATCCTAAGACATCTGTGAGCTTTAAAGCACCTTCAGCTGGACACATATGGACACTTTAACACTGTAGGTGTTGCTGTAATCCCTTTAGTGGGTAAATACTGGTAGCTAGCTGTTGTCCACCTCCTCTCTCATAATGTAAGTGAGCTGAGGAAGAGTATATCTGACTTACCATGCTGAAGCTCCCCATGAGAATCACGACCACCGACAAAAGAACCATCTTCTTTTTTTTTCTTCTTCTTCCAAGCTTTTCTCTTCTCCTCGAAACAAAACAATTCCTCTCGTCCTCGGGCTTAAAGTCCCTCTTCAGGCTCTGACCTGGCGTGTGTGAGCGTTTCTCTCGCCGTTCAAAGCTGGAGAAGAAGGTCCTCTGCTCTCTGTGAGCGCGCCTCGCTGTGTGCTGTGAACGCGCTCCCATCCCGCCCCTTATATAGCGGGCGCGCTGACGTAGTGCTCGCCGTCCGCTGCTGAACTGTTCCCAAACTATGCGAGGAATGTTTCTTGGCGCGATTTTCCATCCGAGCTAAGCACCACCCTGTCTAACTTTTTCTTTTTCTCTCTCTTTCCTCCCCCCCTGCCTCCTCCTCCTCCTCCTTCTCCATCTTAAATGAATTTTCCTCTCGAACACATTCTTTCTTCCCTCCCTCCTTTCCCCTTTACTTTCTCTGCTAACGTGAAGTACGAGGCTGAGCTTGGCTTCTCATTCGAATTTTCCCGTTCCACCTTAAATGGTGCAGCAGTTACATTCTGGCGCCCGAGTAACTGCTGCACCATTTAAGGTGGAACGGGAAAATTCCAACAAGAAGAGACTTGAGGGGAAAAAGTATCTGTAACATCCCACACCGACTAGAAAACACTTTTATACGCCATTTCGTGACTAAACTTCAATCCAACGAGCCTTTTTCGTATCACAATCAGCCTAAATATAAACACACAGCTAACGGTTAACGGTTTTCTCGTCAGCGCGTTCATGCTATGTTTACCAGTCGGTCGTGCTAGCTCCGACTAGCCGAAGGAGAGCAGTTTTTGGCGACTTACTGAGCCCCTTCCTCATCGAAATGGCACGTCGTTTCAGTCAGGGATTTATTTTAAAAGCGATGATGTGTGATTATTCACACCGCACGGCTCCGTATCTCATGCTAAATTTGACGCTAATGCGCGCCCCCGAGCAGCAGCCTCAAGCACTCGAGCTCGGGAACGCGCGCAGAACAACTGTTTACATACTTGGTTTGTCTTCGCGGCCCTGCACTCTAAAAAAAAGATGGTTCCTCAATGGTTCTTTAATAAAGAGAACGGTTCTATGCGGTGAAATAGTTCTTCAGGTTGATGGAGAATGTGTTGTATCTGGTTCTGTGTAGAACTTTTTGGAAAATAGTTCTGTATAGGACCAAAAAGGGTTATGTTACAGTCACGAGCTTGACAACAGAGGAACCCTTTTGGTGCTGTGTAGAACCATACACAACACATTCTCCATCTGAAGAGCCATTTCACCATGCAAGGGACCATTTAAGCATTGAACCCGTGAAGAATGATATTTTTAAGGGGGTATTTTTAACTCTCATTTCTCCTTTTGCTGTTTTCATACTGCAAGTTTGACCAGTAGTTCAAGTAGGGCACCGTGTACCATAAAAAAGTTTGGGGTTTCTGAAAGTTACCAAAAAAAAAAAGAAAGTTTGCTGCTTCTATTTCTGGCATTTGCTCTTTTTCTCCTCAGGCTGTAAGAGCTTCCAGATGTGGAGACTCCAGACGTAACGCCATGGCCATATTTGGTATGGCAGTAGCCTCCATTATGAACATATTTCTGCTTCACTTAGCCAGCCACAAAGCATTCCTGACAGCTTCCAGGGTTGTTCAATATGTTCCCCCCGTGGAGGAAATTCCTCAGTGCTAATTCAGTTTCCATACAATCTGTCCTTCAGCTTTCCCCCCCCTCTCTTCTCTCCTTCAGGAGAGAAAAAAAAAGTGAAACAGTGATCCAAATTTTCCATATAAGATGTTGGTTTGGTTTAAAGGGAAAAAAGAAGAAGGAGCAAAGCAGTCTGCTTTTCTACTACGAGGTTCAAATAAGTAACATTCCAGTGAAATTCAGAGATTAGAGGGTCCTGGATGGAGCGGGAGAAAAGTAAACGGGACACAGAGAGAGAGAAAGAGAGAGAGAGATTCAAAATGGACTCAGATGAATAGAGATGAATGAGCTATGGCTTCTGCTTAGCAGTTCAAAGCGACAGGCTGCTCCTTAGAGATTGCGGCGCTCTCGGTCTCACTCTCTACTACTTTTCAGCAGGTTTGGTTTTTGTCCCGCTGGTCGCCGAGAACGTCGCTGGACAGTCGCATGGAAGGGAGGTGTGTGGAGAGCCGTTCTCCTTCAGGTAAGCCGGTTTCTGCTTTCATACATGATTGTAAACACTCACTGCACACTCAGGAAGACTGTCACTGGGGTGGTGCCCCCCAGAGGGTACGTCTTCAGTGCCTCCGGTCAGGGCACGTTATTACACCATGTACTGACTCCAGGCTTTTTTTTAGTTTTCTGTTTAAAGGAGTGCACCTTCTTCTGGGAAAGTAAATGCCGTGCACTTTTAAATCTCATTTAAGGTACACAGTTGGACCTTAAGGTCATTGTCGAAGGTACATTTACATCGTTTGTACCTATACAAGACTCTTATTCTGAGTCCCCAGTGTTGAATTCACTCTTACAGAGTCCATCTGGATTTATAACTCAACACTGTAAGAGTTAATGCAGCTCTTGGTCACACAGCAGTCATGCATTAACTCTTACAGTGTTTCTTTTGGTTCTAGCTTGACTGTAAGTGTTCCTTCAACACTGTTACCACTTTCTATTTTGTATTTTTGCATCAGATTCATCTTTGTCGCCTGCCCGTAGTGTTTCAGGTTGTTCCACCTGTTCCCTAGCGAAGGTAGGCAAAGCCTGCGATCGTACTGATGAAGTTAGTGTCATATTTCCAGATGGGAACACTAGATGGAGATGTATTGTACTTTGCTGCTCAGTGCTTTTGTTCTTGTTTAAATGGAGAAGTGTCGTGAGAACATGTTCTGTGAGGGCTTTAAACCAGGATAAGCGACTTGTTATGCTCTTTAAAGTATTATTTGCATCTGTGAGGTTTAATTTATTAATTAATTTATTCATTTTTAGAAGACACCACTTATAATGGTCAACAAAACAGGCAGGTTTTCAACATATGATTTAGAAAATGAGCTTTTATCAGCAATACCAAGCCATCTAAGCAAGGCCTAAAAGATCACCATCGACTGATATGTACACTACTGTGCAAAAGTCAGAGACCACCCTTTCATGCGTTTCATTTCCAGTCAAAATGACCAACATCAGGAACAAAAGCAGAAAACATACCTAACAGAAAATTACACTGAAGTCTCAGCAACTGCATATAATATCAATATTTTCAGTATTTAGTGTCCTACAGCTTCCATTCTTTCAGGAGACTCGCTTTCAGTTCCTCAAAGAATCTGCAGACACACCTCCAAAGTTCAGTCTTAGAAGTTGGTTGATCATTTTCTGAAGTAATCAGACACATTCAGTGGTGTTGAGGTCTGGACTCTGGGGTGGCCAGTCCACTGTTCAGCTTCTTTGTTTGATGTGTCCGTCTCCTTTTCTCAGTGAGGTTCTTCTTGACAGCTACACATCCTTTCAGACCCACAGCGCTGAGTCGTCTTCTCACAGTGGAAGGATGGACAGAAACACCTGTGGATGTTTTCAGATCTGAAGCAGCTTGATTTTCTCCTCTCTCTCAAAGATGAACACTTTAAGTGCTGTTTATCTGATGGGGGCGGTTTTGGTGGTCTACCAGGTGTTGCAGGTGGTCGTGTAAGTGAGTCATTTTATATCTAATCTCCTCAGAATGTCTGTTGAAAATGAGTAACTAATGCTTGAAATTAAATAAATGAAGGGTGGTCTCTGACTTCTGCACAATAAAGTATGTGAGAAATATCGGATCAGCTCACAATTCCCATATCAGTGGATCCCTATGCTTCAATCTTAGGCCACAGTCGACTGTATGAACTTTGTTAAATACAATTTGGACACACGACAGTAGAAATATTTGGCACGTGGAGTCTGACGTGTCACAAACAGCTCACAGTAAAGCCGCATCTCTCTCCTCATGTCATGCTTCTCCTGCCTAATGAAGCACGTTCCCTGGAGGAAGTGACTTTAGCATATGCAGGATTATAATATAATAATATAATAATATAATTATGATTACTCTTTCCTGCTGACATCTGTTTCTGAGCGTGCTTTTCAGAGCCCATCTGTATCCCCCCTCGGAGGAAGTGCTTGTTTTAGGAAACAGTTCTGTCATTGGATTCCGGCGTCTCAGTGGAATCAGCTCTTAATTTTTTTCTATCCCGTAATTACGCGTCGAGGAAACATTACAAAATCCTTTTTGTGTTCGCCGTGTTGTAAAGGCAGCCATAATATTTTCCATCGGCCGGACGCCCCTCTTGCCCTTTGCTGGAAAAAAAGCAGCTGAGGGCTTGTTTTATTATTGATTCGAGCGTGTGACTCATGGCCAAAACGTGCCCTGTGCAAAGACGAATCGGGAGTTCAGCCAGATGACGAGGCTGTTCAAACATTACGGTTGGCAGCTGATGTTTGCTTTAAAAAGGTGTTTTACAGTTGAGTCTTTCTGTTTTACAGATACTATAATAGCGTCTCAGGGTAAGATTGGTGATCTGGGTTCAGTCTTTACTGTCATATCGTTGTTTTTGAAGCTGATCCCAGATCAGCATTCATACTCTATGTGTGTACAGTGTGTGTATATACCTGCTCATCCAGTGTTTCTTCTGAAATGAAGGGTATGAAATGGGAGTTTGTCCCTCTTTGCTGCAGTAGCAGCCCTTACTCTTCTGGGAAGGCTTTTCACTAAATGTTGGAACATTGCTGTGAGGATTTGAGTGCATTCAGCATTCACAAGAGCATTAGTGATGCTGGATGATCAGTTGTGGATCACTCACTCTTCCCAAAAGTTAGATGGAGCTCCCTCACTCCAGAGAACTCCACAGCCCGATGCTGGGGGGGCTTCATTCCCATGTAGCCCTCGCTTGTCATTGGGCATGGTGACCTTAGGCTCATGTACGGCTACTCCAGAATGTCCCATTCTATTGGCCAGTGCTTTTCTGTGGAGATTATACAAATTTTAAGAGCGCAATCACACTCAAGTAATATAAAATATAAGCTTTTATATATATATATAGCCCAACATGGCCCTATGTGAAAAAAGTAACAACCCTTAGTTACAAAATCAACAAGTTAACCAAATTCAATTGACCATTAGGTTCAGTTTTACTAGCCACACCCAGGCATGAATACTGCCAGACCTGTTGCATCTCAACATCACTTAAATAGAACGTGCAGCACATGATGCCGTGTTCTAAAAAGATTCAAACACAGATGCGAAACAAAGTCATTGAAAGGCAGGAAATGGACGACGTGTCATGATTCCTGGAACCAGCCACATTATCGCAAACGTTTGATTGCAGCTGTTACTGTCAAGGATGGCACAGCCAGTTATTAGGCATAGGGGGCAATTACTTTTTCACAAGGTTGATATATACATAATAAATGGAATGATCATTTAAAAGCTGCATGTTGTGTTTACTCATGTTGTCTTTGTCTTTTATAAAAAATTGTTGATCTGAAACATTTAAATGTGACAAGTTAGCCAAAATAGAAGAAATCGGGTGAGGGTCAAATACTTTTTCACAGCACTGTGTAATATGTATATATACACTTCTGATTTATTTTCTATATGTTAGGAATTCCAGCAATGTCAAAAGCATGGCGAAAATGTAGAATCTGCACTTTTAACAGAATCTTTCATCCATGAGTGAGAAACAAAGAATAAACAATTACAGCACACTTTTTTATCACTGGTGATAACCACAATTTCCAATGGTAACCCAGTCATACACGCATAACATGCATGCATAACATTGCCAGCAAGTACTGCAATTTCTAAGGCAAACCCAGTCTTACACAGTGCATAACATACCCCTCCACCCTAACCTGGCCTTGAATGAGATATATGATCATGACTTTCCCCCATCGACTAGACTTTCAACTGTATTTGTTTCAACGTGAAGGTCAACAGACAGTAACAGTCACAATATTTAAGTCATTGAGTGGAATCAGTGGACTTCTTCCCCTTCTTCCGACAGCTGTGACCCAAATACAAGTGAGCCAGTGGCCTAAATTTCCAATAAATGATGCCAGAAATATTCCGGAGCTAAGAAACAGTAAACCCAGCCATCCAGGATTGTGTTTTTATGCATTATAGTATAAACAGTGGTGGGACAGTGGAGGTTTAGTAAAAAAATGCCAGTCTTGCAGGAATCATTTCCAGAACACGTAGGAATCGCACAGCAGGGAAAGGCTGTAGGCATCAGCTGAGGTGCTCACCAGAGAGCTTTGGGCTGGGACAGTATAGCATCGCATTAAGCTCCAATAAAATGGCTCAAATATGGTCTTATGTACACAATGTGTCCAAAAGTTTGTAGACACTTTCTCATCCAGCGTTTGTTATGAATTGAAGGGTCTTAACAAGGTGTTTGTCTCTCTCTCTGTACTAAGAGCCTCTGTGCTTCTGGGAAGGCTTTACACTAGATGTTGGAACAGTGCTGTGAGGATTTGATTGAGCATTAGTGAGGTCAGGTACTGATGTTGGATGATCGGTTCTGGACACTCATCCCAAATGTACTGGATGCAACTCACACAGTTCCACTGCTGCACAGCTCAATGCTGGGGGGCTTTATACCCCTCTTGCCAACACTTGGCATTGGGCCTGTTAACCTTAGGCTGCTTCACTGTGTCCCATTCTTTTTGGTCAGTGCTTTTCTACGGATATAATACAAGCTGTGGGAGCACAACTGGATGCCTGTATCAGCAATGCTGAACTCACTAAAGGGCCTGGATACATTTGGACGTGTCCTTCAATGAGATGCCGTCAATATTGGTGCTTTAGTACTGTTGGACTGGGTCACTAGCTGTGTCCAGTGTCTGCATTTACAATATGGGTTTTGACTTGAAGGTGCATATTAGTAAGAGGCATCAGTGAGGTCTGCATTAGTAAGAGTTTCACTGAAACCGCACAACCCAGAGTCGCGTGCCAGTCTGCATGACGTAATGCAGCAGTTATTGGATGTAATAGGATGACTTTAGTTGTTTTGTGGTGTTGGGTTTGCTTTGAAGTGGGAACGTTTTTTATGGATTATAATGAATCACTACGATGGTGCACAGACAGGACCTAATGCATAAATCACACCTGATTGCCTAAAGTATCACATAATAGATCTGTTATTTAAATAGCTGCTGAATGAGTGTAGCTCCCATTAGACAGAAAAGGATTTAGACATTAATACCATGGCTCAGCAAAAATCAGATGAACATCATTTTCCACTTACCTCATGTAGTCAATGTAGTCGATCAGCTGAGACGTGTTTCGTGACTGAGGTTTGCTTTTTTTAGCTTTGCAATGGAGCTACAAGGCTAATGTGGCTAAGAATAAGTTAATACAGGATAATAATAAGTGTGTGTGCATAAATCAGCAAAAGAAATGGTTGGGCAAAAAAATCTAATTGATTCAGTTTCCTACTCACCTCAGCCATAGATGTAGTCAGTTAGCCGAATATGTGTCTATTCTCAGAGTAGCCACGTTTACATGCAGCCTAATAATCCGTTAATAATCCGACTAATAGCTCAATCAGAATAGAATATGTCCATGTATACACCTCAATCGGAATAGTCTAGTCCGATTGAGGCCATTCAGAATACAGTTTCTATCTGATTGAACGAGGTGGGTAATCCTGTTAATAATCTGTTAAATAGAAGAATAATATCCGTGTAAACGCCTGTATCTGATTACATTCCCTATCGGAAAGTTTAAGTACGTTCTGATCATGTTCGTCACGTCATAGCGATTTATAATGCTCAGCATGGCGGAGCAGAAACTGGTCTGCAGAGGAGACCCAGTTTATGCTCTGATCTTTAAAAGACGGCGGTGGGACGGATGTCCAGCTTATGTGTCTCAGAACACGACGTCTTCCTCTCGGCCTTCTTTAATAAGGACATGTGAAGGACGTTTTCCTGAGTCTGACATCATTTTAAAGCATTTAAAAACACAAGCACTGCTCACTGCTGCTCATCTCACTCTGACTAGACCTCACATGATGTTTGCTGTCATGGTAATGTTTACTCTAAGTGGTACTCCACGCATGCGCGTCATTTTCGATCAGATTACTTGTTGTGCACATGCAAACGAAGATTTTCCATCAGATTGTTTAATAGAGTGAACATAAACACCTCAGTCTTAATCTATAATTGGAATGTATTCAATCGGATTGGCAAAAATCTTTGCATGTAAACACAGCCACTGTCTTCATTAAGGTTGTGCGGACTTGTTGATGTGGTTTATAACACAATATGGCTTACTGTGAAATGCACTACACAGAGTTGTGTGTCAGCCTGCATAAGGTAATAAAGCAGTATGTTAAAACTTCACCGTGTAGCTGAACTATTAGATCAGCCATTTTACAGAGTGGTGCCGAATTCCGACTCCCTTCTCCCAAATCCCACTTCTTTTCGTGTGCACGCATGTCACACAGGCATGTGGACGCCAGGTTAGCTTTGTGATTTCAGTTTCTACTGATAAACATTTTTAGTTAAATAATTCAAGAATTTTATAGCTCACAGTAAGTCATACTGTGTCCTAAACCACATCGAGTGGTTCGTGCCGTGGTCTGAGTGGGTTGAGAGATGTTTTGAGGATGTGTTTACAGAAAACATTTTGGTGACTATTGACTTCTAGTGTTAGCTATGTTAGCCTCATGGCTCCAGTTTAAACTAAAGAAGCTAAATTTGGACACCAAACATGTCTTGACTGATCAGCTACATCTGGGATCAGCGGACAATTGTGTATTTTTGCTTTCTTTGCCAAAACATTCTATTAAATCATCTCAAATAGCATCGCTTGTGGTTTCAGACACTGTGTGCTATAGTGCTATAAACTCGGACAAAAGAACAACAAAAATCAAGCTTCAAGATGGCTTTTGATTGCTGTTTTTAGCCATTTTAGCTGCTTTCTATCCATATAGGTAAGATTTTAGGCAACAGTGAGTGTGTTTACATGCACTTAATAATCCGATAACTGCAGAAAATGAGATTCTGTCAGTAATACAATCAGCGCATCACGTAATCAGATAATGAGTCAGGCAGTAAACGGATTTGAATTACAATCGGCCAATAAACTCACAGAAGAAGCAGGACGTAAACGTAATGTAAACTCAAACTTCATGAAACATCGAGTCACTTTACCTGAAATGATGAACATACATCATCTAGAACATCTAGAACATGAAGAATATTTAAATCCTTCATTTTGTCGAGAATGTAGTCGGTTTCAGCGTCGCTCCAAAAGTGTTTTGCTGACATCCTGCAGCAGCGCTGCTGCTTATTTCCGGTACCACCGTCTGTTTACGCACATGCACAGACAGGCCGAAAGAAATCTGAGTAAAAGTATGACACTGACAAATCTGATTACAGCTCTCTTTATCGGATTTCTAGACCTTACTTCAGTCTAAGAAATCAGAGTCTGCTGTTTACAGGACCATTAAATAAGCCGCTTACGATCTGATTATTGAGTGCATGTAAACAAACTCAGTATGTGGTACAGTGTCAATAAACCACAATAGCAGTTCTGTTTGAGATGACTTCATATTACTTAAACAGAGCTCAACAGTGTGCAATAATGTAGCATGCAGTTTGCATGATGCTAATTGGTGCTAATATGCTTCCTAAGAAACAAACTTCAGACGCTAAACACGTCTTTGCTGACCGACTGCATTTGCGGCAAAGGTGAAAACCGTATACACATGATTTCTGGAAGCGCTGCTTTAAGGAAAGTTAATGGAAAGCAAGCTGAGGAGGCCTCGAAGCTCTTGGGCTATCGTCCACTTCTACAGTGTCCACCCCCAGAGTTCAGGTGCAGTTAACCTTCCTGAGAGAGGGAATGCGTATGTGTGCTGGAGGAATGGAAAAAGAGAGCGAGCGGAGAGACCTGTGTGAAGTGGAAGAGCTGGTATGTGGGCCTTCAGGAATGTTTGGAGCCGTCAGGATAATTGAGTGGATTTGGAACAAGGAAAGACCGACTTTGTTCCTGTGGCGCAGAGGAATGCGCCCTGGGACGTCTGCAGAGCACATTCCGGCCCGACTCAGCGGAAAGACACACATACAGAGAGCTCCTTAGATGGCTCAGGAGGACACGCGCAGGCTGCGCCGCATGCCAGCGTCCTCACATGAAGCAGCTCCCGTAGCTTTGCAGTGGGCCGGAATCTGCCATTAGAAAGCCAAGCTGGTCATGCAGCATCCACTGGCTTTCGCTGCTACTTTCTCACAAGGTCTGGACGCCGTTTTCCATTTCTGATCACCGTCCACAACAGTCCACAGCCTAAAACAGCGCTCAGGCTTGGGGCAGTGGGAATGGTTTGTTTTGGTTTGAGGTGGGCGAGTTTTGTTGGAAGCGCAGTGTACAAAACTCATAGTGAAGTGTTCGTGTGGGTGGGCTGTGGTGGGGTGGGAGTGGACGGTTCCCTAAGCAGCTGGACAGAAGCTTTGGTCAGTTTCATGCCAGAATAAACAACAAAAACAAAGCATCATATATATAATATAACCCAGTAGGCACTGATTTCCCAGTTTGAGTCTATATGGAAAGTTATAAAGCCTCCTTCAGTAGCAGAAGGTCTGCACGCTCGCGCTTACGTTCATGCATGCATGTATGCATGCACATGCATGCACGCGCATGTATACATCGCGCACGTGCACGTGGGTCGCGGCTCGTGGTCACGCGAGAAGCGGCGAGAGCCCAGCGCGCGTGCGCAGGCGTGCCGGCGCGAGCTCGCTGTCAGTCTGTCGGCGGCGCGAGCCACAGGGCGAAAACAAAACAAAACAACACAACAGCGGGCGAGCGGAAGGGAGCGGGCGCGCGCTGCAGATCCGTTTGTTTGTTTGTTTGTTTGTGAGTGGTTGAGGCGAGTGCAGAGCATGCAGGCGGATTTCGGGAGGTTCACGCACGCGGTGGTGCGCGCGGTGCCCGGCTCGCTCGCGGCGGAGGCGCTGCGCAGCGGCCCCGCGGAGGTGCAGGTGGACATGGAGGCGGCACGGCGGGAGCACGAGCGCTACGTGTCGGTGCTGGAGAGCGCGCTCGGGCTGCGCGTGGTGCAGCTGGAGGCGGACGAGGCGCTGCCGGACTGCGTGTTCGTGGAGGACGCGGCGGTGGTCTGCGGAGACACGGCGCTCATCACCAGACCGGGGGCGCCCAGCCGGAGAGGAGAGGTGACGCTTATGACCTGCTGTATGAATGAAAGCTGTGATGACGCCCAGTGTGAATACAGAAAGCCTCTGCTTTAAGGCTCGTGCGTTAGAAAAGATCAGTGCAACCAAGTGCAATGGCACTGACACTGCATGGACCAGAAAATGCACGTGCATTTATGAGATGAAGCAAAGTGGTGATACTCAGTTAACAGTGCGAGTCTGCGCTTCAACCTGGTGTGCTTTAAAATAACTTGTTGCCAGGCTGTGCAGTAGATCTCTATAGGAAGGTGCAGCAGGTTTAGCCAAGTGACTCTTTTGCTCTAGTCGTCTGAAGTTACCAAGCGCACGTGGAGGCAGATCTGCACGTGCTGGTCCTGTCCAGCCCCTCCAGAGAGGGGGACATGGTGGCCACGCCCTTGGAAAACCAAAACATGTTCTTTAGCACAGTCCTGGAGCCCGCCTGCTCTACATATTCAGGTCTTTTCCCTGATCTGATCCAACTAATCTGCAGATCAACAGTCCCTTCCTGAGTTCAGAGCAGGATGTGAGCTAAACCTCAGAGATTTACATTATAGTTAAGACTTGCATTGTTACCTGTAAGTGTCATCAGTACTTGGACGGCCTTCTGCAGCCTTGTTCAATTGCCCGAGCAGAGCAGGTGCCGTTGCATCAGGTCAGTTTGGACTTTGCTCTGTGCTGATCTGTGCACCTCAGAAAAAGTGGCGTGTGCACGGCCTGCCTGTAGAAAATACTGGAATATGGGTTGTTTTGGGTGGGTTGAGGAGCTAAAACATTACTCAGAGGTGCTACTTCAATGAAAAATGTCTCACATATAAGTAAAAGTAGCTTCTAAAACCCACCTAGAAAAGCATCAGATCCATAAACAGCTCACATACTGAGCTCCCTGTAGAACTGCAGTGCATCCAGTATCTGTTAGCGTAGGAAATTGTACTCAAAGCAGCATAAGTGCTGAACCAACACAGCAGAATGAAATTAAACCCATGCACTGTAAACAAAAGAAAGCCTTATATATAAAACTAAAGCTATAGTTCATAAAGTGCTGCTTATGCAGGCTTTGGGTAAACCCTGAACTGCTGCATGCAGATAACCACTCATTTAATGTATTTAATTAGCAGAAAACATTAAGTTCGTGGGAGAGATGTTATGTTTAGTCTGGCCAAAAATTCTGTCCACAATTTGCTGTCCATGAATACGGCCGAGTGTTGAGTTGTGACAATTCCTGATAGGAGGTATAAAGCTTCTCTTCTTATGAATAGCTCATTGTGCAGAAACGCAGCATAGCTTTCTGTGACCTTATTTGAGCTATAAAGACTGGCCATCGCACACACACACAATTCTTGTTGTCACCGTGTTATGGAAAGCCCTCCTTTATGCCCAAACAGGCTCACACTGTTTGGTATGTTGTTTATAATGAGGTCTTTCTGTTCTCTCAGTTCTGGACTTGTTTAGAACTTTAATCAAGACCGAAATGTTGATCTGAAGCCAAATGTATCCCACAAAGTTTATGTGACCCAACCCACAGCACTGAGTTTAGAATTCAAACCTGACCGTAGGCTGACGACATTGTCTGAACCCAAGTGTAGCATGACAGAATTCTGTCTCTGTCTGACTGTAGCCCAACAAAACTGTATCTGAATCCAGCTGTATTCCGAGAAAACTCTGTCTGAATCCAACTGTAGACCCAAAAATTAGTCTGAATCCAACCGTAGCCCAACAGAATTCTGTCTGAACCCGACTATAGCCCAACAAAAGTAGTCTGTATCTGACTGGAGCCTGACAAAATCATGTCTGAACCTGACCATAGCTGACAATTTTTTGTCCGAACACATCTGTAGCCCAAAAAACTGGTCTGAATCTGATTGTAGTCTAACAAAGTTTTGACTGAATTCGACTGTAGCCCACAAAATTATGTGTGAATCCAACTGTAGCCCAGAGAAATTGGTCTGAATCTAATTGTAGCCCAACTAAATTCTGTCTGAATTCGACTGTAGCCAAAAATTCTGCCAACTGTCACCAACTAAATTCAGTCTGAATGCGACTGTGATCTGGTTCTGTGTGGTCTGAGCTGGAGAATCAGTCTCTCTAATTGCCTATTTTTCTGCTTGTGTCCCTGTGGCTGAAACTGTTTTACTTTTAGCTTGGAGCTCAATTACCTAGGGGGAGACCTTGATTACCTCCAGGGAGATCCTTAGAGCATCTCACTCTAGCAGAGCATGGTCTGGATGCGTGAGCAGGCAGGCTGTTGCTGAGGGACTTAAGCTGCTTTTTTCAGCCGCAAAATTGTCTTCCTCATAAACATTAAAGGGCTAAATCTTGAGTGGTTCCCAGCTGTGCGGACTGCACCACGACTAAGACTCGTAAAGGACTTGACACATTGCAGTACCTGCTAAACCTAATCCCCTAGAGCCTAATTAAGTGATATCGTCTGTGATACCTACTGTAACATTGTGTAGAGTGTAAGTTCAGTACAGCGTTGAAAATCATTGTGCCGAAATTTTAATTACTGTATCTCTAATATGCCAAACGGACTCTTCCAGAGTCTCTCTTTTACTGTCCTTTGTGGAATCTAGGCAGAGCCTTTGCTTTGCATGCATCCACATAACTGGGCTTTTTTCAGAAGTCGCTCATAAATTATAGATATTTTCTGACTTATTTGCTAATAAGACATTGACAGTGTTCTGTTTGAGGACTCAGTAATTACAGCTCTGTTGAATCAGATCTGAACATATGTTTATCATTATAGTCCTGCTGCGTAACCTCGGCCTTTGATGTGCTCGTGTATGGGCTCAGATATGGGAGTGGGCAGGCCTTGTTTTCCAGATAAATTCAGTCGCATTGCTGCAGTTGGTTTTCAGGGTGGTAAAGCATGTTCCGAGTGCAACTGCAAGTTTGTATTCGCCCTCTTCCTTTATTTATAGTGCGTTTAACCAGTCAAACTCGCTTCACTTAGTTCCAAAGTAGAATAGCAATGAATCTGAACATTGCTGTTGATCTTATTTGGAACAACAATGAACTTCCTCATGAAGCCATTATAAATACTAGACAGTCAATAAAAGGGAATTCCACTGAGTTTTCCAGTTTTCTGCAGATGTCAGAGTGGTTTGATGTGAAGTGGTGCTTTCAAATTTCTTTAGTGGGGTGGTGATATGAACCAGGAGGTCTTATACTGCCTTTTTATAGCCATTTTATTGGCTATCCAAAACCACCAGTGAACCTACATGTGTCTTCTGAGTGATGATAAAACAGCACCTTTCTGCCAGTAATATATTTAAAAATATGTTTTAGGCCAAAACCTTTTCAGAACTGTTGGACAACAATGTCTCAGACATCAGGCAGTGGATTCATAACCATTTAATGTAATAACTGTCTGTGAGGGAGCTTTTAGAGGAGGACGTCTGGTTCCTATCACCACCACTGTGAACAATTCTGACTTGTTTCTCTAGAACAGAGCTTTTCACATCCGACCACTCTGAATGACTTTGTTTAATCATTTAAATATACACAACTTAAAGTCTGCAGGATACGGCCAAAATTACATACTGGGATTTGGATTATGCTGCTACTTGTGGTCATAATATCACTTAAAATAAATTAAAAACAGACTAGTGAACCTTTGATGTGGCCTGAATAAAGATTGGCCTGCATTGACTTCGACCGAAGTTAGTATGTTACATTGTTATTATACACCGATCAGGCATAACATTATGACCACCTCCTTGTATCTTTTACCCTGTTTTTCAGTGGTCAGGACCCCCATGGACCCTCACAGAGCAGGTACAGTGTAACTGCAGTGCTGAGAATGATCCACCACCCAAATAGTACCTGCTCTGTGAGGGTCCATGGGGGTCCTGACCACTGAAGAACAGGGTAAAAAGGGGCTAACAAAGTATGCAGAGAAACAGATGGACTACAGTCTGTAACTGTAGAACTACAAAGTGCACCTATATAGCAAGGAGGTGGTCATAATGTTATGCCTGATCAGTGTATAATGTTGTACAGTTACAACTTGTGAAATCAGGCGAAAACATTGATTCATCAAAACGTCCTATGATTGGTCAGGATGCTCTTAGCACACAATAAAACATTTGCGATTGGCTAGAGGCTCATATTACAGCCTTCTTAGTGCTGCAGAGGCCATCATGATACTTCTGATCTCTGTTTTACTGCAGTACCACTAGATTCATTTCAGTTTATATATTGTACCATGTGTACGAGTGAAGGACATTGTAGGAACTTCTGTCTCTGTCCAGCTGCTGAAGTATTACCCCTCCCCCCACCTCTGTAGTGGATGTTAATGGGTTTAAACGTCTCACTGACTAGGGCTGGAGATTAGCATAATCCTATTCGTTTTGTGGACTAAGTCTATTTAGAGTGATTACGCCATTTAGGTGAGTTGACTAATCAAGTATGAAATGGATTCCTGGTTTGTTTGTTATTTTAATTAAATAATTGGAACATTTGTGTAATTCAGCTCTGCAGACCAGCGAAAATGGCTTGAGGAAAAATAACGTCGATAATAAAATTTAGGAAGAAGCATTTCAGGAACGGCACAGACTGCTAGAGTGAAAATCTCAGGCCTGTGAGAGTTTAAATAGACTAATTAAAGAAGTGAAACCCACAATGCCATAACTGAAGGTTCATAACCCAAGTATAAATGTGTCTGATTGGCTAAAATCTCCATAAGCAGAAGAGAGAAGAAGCCTGGCAAGAAGTGAGACTCAGATGTTTATCTTCCTCTGTTCTGGTGGATGTAGTGACTTTGCTTTCTTCATTTTCTCCGGTTCGGTTGGAATTAAATAACCGCTGCGGGCGGCCGTCATCCAAGCATGCTGCTTCTTAACAAATCGCCCGCGTTCTCTTATTTAAGCGCCGCGCGGCATTGAACTATTTAGGTCAGAAATATTTAGGTCACGGTGTGCCCGTCAGTGGTTAAGTTTGAGTGAAATTGAGTCTGCGTCTCAAGGCGAGGCAGTCCAGGAGAACGTCCAGGAAATGGCTCT